CTTCTTAATTATTTTTGAATGTGTCGCTTTAGATATTTTACATATAAAACATTTTAGAAAACAGACCATGCTCTTTTTCAAGCAATACAAGATGATAGTCATTTCTTCGACCGCACATTTCATTTTGTTCTGGAAACTATTAGATAATCACATACAAATACAGTCTGATATGAACAATTTGACTGTATATAAATTAATAAGTATCCCAGAGGGCGTTTTCTATCGTACTTATGTAATTTTCAAAGTGAGGACGCCTTATTTGTGACATAAATTGAGTAAAATATCTATTTAACCATTGCCACGCTAAATCTCTAAAATGGTCGTGTCCGTCTGTCAGTGTGGACTTAACATATTGACTAAATAGCAAACAGTACAGACCGTGGACAGCATTCTGATCTTGATCGGCACCGGTAGCATAGGTAGAATCAGTTGTATAGTTGTATATATTTAGATATTCATTTATTACCAAGGAATGATTCGCTGATAGGGTTTCTAGTGAAAAAAACTGAATAATACGGTCATATTTACAAACAAATAATTAGATATCGATAGTATCTCATTATAGAGCTGTGTTGTAATTATCTTATTATCAACTTAATTTATAAATATATGAATATATTTTCACAAAAGAAGTAAAGGAAAAAATGAATAAATCAAAGAATCATATTTTGAAATATACATATGTTATATATATTTATTACGAATTTTCGCATTTCATACATACAGTTTTTTTTTATCTCCTTCAGTTATTTCAGTTTGTTTATTTGCTTTTTTATGCTTTTGGAGGGATGGTGAAAGGGGTGGAGAGATTAATGTGAAACTAATTTAGAGCTCGGAAAATAGATTTGAATGCTAATGTGAATGTTGTTTTGTTACAGCTATGTATGTTGATATATTCAAGGAAATAAATAATGAAGATAAATGGAAGATGTTAACACTTGTCGAATATATTCTAAGTGGTACTAACGAGCAACATAAATCAATGTTAACTGACTTTAAACATTATGTATAATATTAATACATCATTCCCGAAAAAATGTAGCAAATTAGCAATAGAAGATATATATTTTTTGTTGTCTCTTAAATAATGTTTTTTCTCTGACATCTTGACAAAATTATATGATGGTTTAAACATTTTCCTTCTATCTTCACCCCCCCCCCCCTACCCCCCCCCCCCTCTCAACAAAAAGATCAAGGTCGGACGTATTTTAGTATGGTTTATCGTATCGTATTAATTGGGGTGCATTCCATACATAAACTATTTATCTTTAAAACCAATAATATTTTTTACATTTAATTACCTTCTTAAAGTATTAACGTCATTAACCTTTAAAAAATATATTATCCCAGAATGTTTTAAGAAGTGTATACAATTATGTAAAAATCTTTTTTTTTTATTATTATTATTATTTATAACGACGCAGCAAGATGTGGACCCAATAATCATATACTGTAGCTGTGGTGGGAGGCATGCTTATCATATATATTTATGGATATTCTGTAATAGCTCGCAGCATCTGTCTATGATTATAATAATTGTGATAATTATACACAATACTGACACGTTACATTATCTTGGTAAAGATTTACTCTACTGTTGATGATTTAATACCTTCATTGTAATCATGCAACAAATTTATGATTTCTTTAGATATCCAATTTTTCTTTTTGCTTTTTTTTGGTTAAATTCTGACATACTGTTGTGTACATGCTCAGGAAAACTTTAGCTTAAATTACACTTAAAATCTTTAAATTTATTTGTAATTGTTAATATTGTAATCTAAACTTTTACAAAGCTAAAAATTCCACGAGATACTGTTAGACTACATTTGAACGCTAAATCTTCATTCATATTTGTTTTTTAAAACCTCTTCGGCTGCCAGAACTTCAATTATACAGTTACATTTAATTTGCCAAAGAAACTTCTAAAAAGTACAAAACTACTGTAACTGGTGGATTTGCCTCAAGTATATCAGAAATTATAATTAAAAATGCTGATTTAAATTCAACGTAGCTTTCGTTTTAAAAGGATTTCTTACGTTGATAATGACGAATTTTAAAATTTGTTTGACCAATATGAAATAAAAATATTAATTTAAAGGTTCTGGGTTTGTTTTAAGAAATAAATATGTCAAGACTCACAGTTAAAAAATATGGACAAATTAAATCAAGCAGAAAAAGTGTTTTATATAATATATATATATAATCCATACTTTTCATAATAGTTTTCAAATTATATCAATGATTATATATTCCGATAATGAGTAAACCAAGCTGTTTGGCAAATAAAATAGTGTAAAAGGATTAATTAACTCACGTACAACACTATTTAACAAAATTAACCGACCGTAAAGTGTTTCTGTTAGGTTTATCCCGGTATATACGTACGTGTCTATATTGACGTTGCGTGCACATCGACTCCAGGAAATTCGTTTATTATTTCTTTTAATTAAGCAACATAATAGTGCATTTATTAAGATAAACTATACCGCAGTATTTTTGAACACATGTGATTGATGAAAAAAATAAAGAAAAGAGATGGAATAAACAGATGAAAATAGTATCAAAAAGACACAAAATTATGTACAGTCATGGCGTAATAGGGACAATTTGACGAAAACTCAGACAACTTCATTGCCTGGCTGCAGCTGCAGCTAATGCTAGGGCTTGGTATTAGATTAAAACTTTCTATGAACGTCCGGGTGAATATAGTGTCTCAAGTGGGAGACAATAAGTCCAAACAAACACATCTCTTTTCACGCAAACATTAAGTACTTTTGACATAATCAGTATTTAGAGTTAAACAGACAAAATGTATTAACGAAAAAGTCTGCTGTAGAGTGTAATCATATAGGCGTCGTGAATTTCTTAAAAATTTTCTTATTTTTTTAAGAAATAGAAAATTGAGAGAGAACACATGTAGTGTATCTTATTTACATTTTATTCGTAATAAAATTTGATTTTATATGGATAATTACTGGCTTACGTACTGTGTCCGAAACATTTTTTTCACAAAGACACAATATTCAAATGAACTGATTTATTTCATTTTGGTAAAATTTAGAGTAAGTTCAAACTGACTTGTTTATTTCATTTTAGTCAAATTAAAGTGTATGTAAACGTACTTGTTTTTTTTCTGCACACAGTAACAAATTAGCGACTTCTTTACATGTATAACATTCGTAGGTAATAATGAAAAACGTTTTATTAATTTACAGACGAAAAGTATGAATGCGAATACAGGTAAAAATATACCCGTATCAGATTGGGACGGAATTCGGCAATGTTACAAGATTATACATCAAGAATGTTGTCGCCGGTAAATGTTAACAACGTTCTGTTAGGATAATGGTATTGAGCAATGTTTTGCGATAAGAATGTATTGTTTGTATACATGATATAGAAGATGAAGCCAACTAGTTATTAGTATATTACCGGTTATTAGTATAATGCCGTCATGCTGATAGCGTTGAAGTAACAACAACATATAACGTTGCATAAATATCTTGTTATAATCAGCGAGTATGTGTTTTTACTGGTAAATAAACATCCCTGGTTAGCACTGTATTTGCATAACTGATTAGTACGTTCTAAGAAAACACTGCCCTCGGCGTGTACATATATTTCACGGCAATGTGTACTAATTACTTGGGAGCTTATCACTAGTTTATAACATATTTTATTATTTACTTTTTACCTTCTTGTAAGTGGAAACATTGGCTGAGAAAATTTTGAGAGAAATAGAACGTGTCAACAGACATGTATATCAGTTTTTATTTGTTTTTAATATATATTCTATTCAGTTTATGGAAACAAAATTATAGTTTTCAGTTTCAGTTTTATGATAAAGGGAAGCGATATAAAATGGCCGATGCAATTTATGTGTATACTTTATATTATCTGTAATATAAAGTTATCATTAGTATTGAATAAACTATGTACTTTGCATGCATCTTAGTGTACATAGACACATGCATAATATACGTTATTCATATTCGTATAAATATGTATACAAATTGCACGTGTTATTTTATCTACAGGATTTGTCTCAATTAAATGATATATAGCTATGTACTCTTTCCACTCTTATTTAATTTATGACAGAGTACCTGTTAATTATCACTGGATCAAACGTAGGTACTGTAACAAGAACAACGTGTCTGATAGTGGAAAGGTTAGACATAATTGAATAGACAAATGTAATAATGAAAGATAATTGAACAAAATTTGCTGATGTAAAAGTTTCTCTACACCTTTTTGATTTAAAGTCTGGAACATGTTAATATAAGTAAAAATATATCAGAATTAAGACGTGTCTTGACAAGGTAATATTAAAGATCATAATCGCTATCTATAAAAATACGTTTAACATTGCTTTGTAGAATTACCCGGCTTTTTTCATCGTTTTGTACCATAGTAAGTCATTTTAGCTTTAGTCTCCAATAGAAATATCGCCAGAATCTTTTGACATACTGCTTTTAAATTACATAAACGTCTTCACAAGAAAATGTTAGTTTTTATTTATTTATTTTTTTTTGCATACAAATATTATGCTGCAGAACACGTTCATGTGTCTCTAGCCAAAACATGTTAGAGCGATTAATATATTTATAATACGATAAACAAAAGCAACTTTGAAGTATCCGAGTATTTACGGTGAATTACGGAGATATATTTCACAATATTTTCATCAAGAAGGGAAATTGGTGACAATATTTGTCATACACGAGTTTTCATTTCATTTTTTATATATAAACATGTATTATCTACATTTTTGTCAATAACTGAACAAAATGAGAAACACATATCCATATGGATAACAAAATGAACAAACCTGCATATATAGTCTTAATCTGATACAAAATGCAAACATCTTTCTGTGCGTTTTCTATACGAATATCTAGGTTATTATTCATATAAAATAATAAGATTAATCATTACTACTGAACACCATGTAAACTATGAATTCTATTAGTAATAATAATATTATAAATTCTTACCATGAAAAATATATTTTATCCGAAATCATTTCCTTCTCCCTCGTTTAACCACTTTCACTATTTATCTCTTATTCTCCCGGCTAATACATGTTTCTTTGCATAACGTGCAATCGTTGCCTTTAATTATATATATTAGGTAACAAGTCTTCACTCTAATTAACTTATTTCCGTTTTAAAAGACACACGGAAGAATTATTTAATATTCCTTTAAAGACGCATTATTATCACCAGATTGCCGTCTGTAATAGAATAAAATGATAGATGAGTCAGTCGTGATCAATTAGAGGCCCTGCTCCTAATCAATTTAAGAACGACACCACACGGGGGAGGCCATTTATTGCAAAAACACTAATGATGAGTGGTGTTCAGATTAATGCTGCATAAATCCATCAACATTTCATCTTAAACCATTATTTCGGACCCGTAAGAGACCGAAAACTACTTTAAATGTATCCATACTGTATCCTTACACGTTTAACGTTTTATGTAAATGCCACACATTTATCATATCCATCCACCTTTTTATTACATATTGCTAGTGTTATAGTTATGAACGTGAAGATGGTTTTAGCTATTATCATGAAAACATATCGTCTCATATAATATGATGAACGATCGACAAAGGCACGGTGCCGGATCAGCACTAGTATAACTAATACATTCGTACGTAACCAGCATTATCGTAAATGCATTGTGACAGCCATACCTTTGGGATATATTCCGCCATCTCCGTTCGTACTAAAGATAGAAATATTATACAAAACAAACCTATAGCCGGATATTGACATACATATGGGATAAAGTTTCTGATACTTGAATATAAAGTTTTACATGTAAAACCATCATATATCTATTATAACTTTTTTATATGCAGTAAATCTATATACATTAGATCTATATTGAAACGATTGGGGTTCAATAACTACGTACCGGTAGTTTGATGCATAAATACCTGCAATGGCGTCTTACTTTTTAGCAAATCGATGCATTTATGCCATTAAGATTGAGATTTTGCAGCCAAGGTCAGTTGATAGCCTGACATACAATATCAGCTTGACAGAAAAGCTCTCTGTAGGAAGATAAAAGGCTCTACTAAATGGAAAATGATAAAACTCATTTAGTCCGAGCGATCCGAATATTGGGTAATGATGTAATGTGCATGATAGAATAATAACGTACCGCTTTAAATTGCCCTAATGTGGCAATTTTATTGCATTTGTGTACAATAAAGCGATGTTTTGGAATTATTATGGAATATTCCTGACATATTGTTAGTAGTACATGTAAAGTTGGCGATCTATATGGTCTAGATGGTTTCACAATAAAAATATTTCTGTTTTCCCCCACACTGTCTACACATGCGTGAAAAGACGATTATCTGCATCATTCAATAAATCTTTTGATTGCCAGAATCTAGATTGAATCGTAGCATTCGAAACACCTCGCAATAATCTCGAAAACTGTTGAAAATTATTAACGATACCACATACACAAACGCAGAGGCTAAAATCTTAAACTTTTAAGTGACATAATACTTTATTTAAAAGGAAGACATAGGTGATATGTTTTTCTATAAAAAAGGTCTATTGAAAAACAGTTATTGATAAGTCATTGATATATAGTTTTGTCATTATTTATTTTTTCTAAAAAAAAAAAAAAAAAAAAAAATCATACAATTGTAAAAACATAAATCAGCAAAACCCTATATTTAATTTTTACATTTCGTTATATATCTCAGAATCGCCATTATTTTGGTCGACTTAAAACAACGATAAAAACTCAAAAACTCAATAATTTCTTTTTGTCTACATGTTAAAGCGTGCATGCAACAAAATTATCTGATACTCGTATCTTGTATATTATTTTCCCCTTTGTATATATCAGACAGTATACAGTTATTTCTTAGTATGTGATTTAGGAACAGTCAAACTGTTGGCCCGAGGTGAAGGGTAGTGTTTTGAACTGTTGCCAAAGGCCGTAGACCGAGGCCAACAGTTCATAACACAATCCCCGACCCCGAGGGACAACTGTTTGACTGTTTCCAAATCACGTATGAAATAACTGTTTTATTACCTGATCAACTACTGTTTTAATAGTACTTGCAGTTGCAAATATGTTAATAATTAAACTTAATACTTTAATTATGTCATGTCACGTCTGGTTTATGATCAAGATCGATGGACGCTTCAAGTGGGAATCCTGTATGACGTCAATGACGTCAGAGCACGAGAGGGAAACAGTCGAAACTATTGAACGGTCAACAGTTCTTGAAGGTTGGCGTTTTTAGAATTTCAAAAAACAGTAAAAAATACCAAATTTAAATAAGGTATCAGGTAATAAAAATATCTAATCATTACATCGGTGCCAGAACAAATGGTCTTACAACCTCGTGTAAGACATGTCACGTGCTTTAACCCTTTACCTCATATATACGCGAAACAACGCACTTTCGACCCCCCCCCCTTTTTTTAGGCCTCAAATAGTAAAAAAATGTCCTATTTGGGCCCCAAACACATGTTTTCGTTTGAGAAATGTTGCTAAAAAAATGAGCACTTTTTCGGCGCCGCCCCCATCCAAAAGATACATCAGGGGGTTGCCAGAAGGGGGATGTGCCTCCTTCTGTTAGGGGGGTTTGAAGGGGGGGGGGTGGAGTCCCCCTCATCGCCAAGAAAAATTTGGATTTGTGAGAGGCTAAAGATGACCCCAGGTCGATCATAATGTAACGTGTAACCAACGCTGAAAAGCCTTTGACTCTATCTCAATCCCTTGAGAAGTTGCAGCACTTTGAAATAAATTTTGATGGAAAAAATCGAGGCAAAATAGTGATTTTTGGCGAGTTGAGATGTCCCCTCGTTGCCATGGTAACAGGAAATTTAAGACTGAGCATGTTGTTACAAAGGCAATGGTCCAGTCAACATTTGTGCCAAGTTTGATTAGTATTGAAGCATTTTTCATAGTTTCATAGCAGTTTGAACTTGTAACAGGAGGCTTTTCAGTGAAAACGGCCATTTTTCACAATATACTCATGGGGGAAAGGGTTAACCAAAAAAATTATAAATGTTACAAAACAACAATTTTTCACCAAAATTAGGCGAAAGACCACATGTTAACATGGAAAAAATAGTTTTTAGGTGATTCCAAAGTTTTTCATCATTTTTTGTGAACCCTTTACCTCATATATACGCGAAACAAAGCACTTTCGACCCCCCCTTTTTTTTAGGCCTCAAATAGTGGAAAAATGTCCTATTTGGGCCTCAAACACATGTTTTCGTTTGAGAAATGTTGCTAAAAAAATGAGCACTTTTTCGGCGCTGCCCCCCATCCAAAAGATACATCAGGGGGTTGCCAGAAGGGGGATGTGCCTCCTTCTGTTAGGGGGGTTTGAAGGGGGCGGAGTCCCCCTCATCGCCAAGAAAATTTTGGACTTGTGAGAGGCTAAAATGACCCCAGGTCGATCATAATGTAACGTGTAACCAACGCTGAAAAGCCTTTGACTCTATCTCAATCCCTTGAGAAGTTGCAGCACTTTGAAATAAATTTTGATGGAAAAATTGAGGCAAAATAGTGATTTTTGGCAATTTTGAGATGTCCCCTCGTTGCCATGGTAACAGGAAATTTAAGACTGAGCATGTCGTTACAAAGGCAATGGTCCAGTCAACATTTGTGCCAAGTTTGATTAGTATTGAAGCATTTTTCATAGTTTCATAGCAGTTTGAACTTGTAACAGGAGGCTTTTCAGTGAAAACGGCCATTTTTCACAATATGCTCATGGGGGAAAGGGTTAAATGACGTCATTTACACGCGGCTTTTACAAAGTATTGCGTTGTCAGCATGAAGTCATTTTGCCGTTATGAATATAGAAGTTCATACGCTCACATTAAAAAAAGTGCTTACAATAGTTTTTGTATCTTTTTCCGACATATGATAAATATGTATGATGTACTGGAAAATGAATCAACAACGACTGTCGTCACAGACATGACACTCTAGCTCTCGTTTTTTAATATGCTTGATTATTCATTTATTTATTTATAATTTTTTATTTGTATTTTTATTTATTTATTTATTTATTTATTTATTTTCTATTTGGATGGATTGATGGATGGGCGGGTGCGTGCGTGCGTGCGTGCGTGCGTGTATGTATGTATGTATGTATGTATGTATGTATGTATGTCACAGTTTTCGGAGGGAGGAAAGAGGCAGTTAAAATCATGACTTTCATTAGTTATCTATTTATTTATTTGAAAACGTTATAGAATGACACATCTTCTATAACCTTGAATGAATCACTGTAATAAAGCTATTATTTTTATATGCCACTTTTGCCTGCAGTAAATGTTTTATAATTTCAATAGTTCAATACGACACATAATATTGAAACGTGCGGTTTTTATCATCTTTAACATTACATTTTCTGAGAAACAGCGTAACAACAAAGTCAAATAATTCAAAAAATGGCGTCGCTTTGTCTTTTATCCTCCAATAAATACGGCTTATTATCCTTATAAAATAAAAAAAAGAGATGCACTTTAAAGGGAAAAAACAAAATTCCAAAGAACTCCAGTATATGTTCAACAGAACTAAATGCAGTGCGCTTAGGTTTTGATCCAATTGAATATTATTCCCTGTTTTGTCATTTATAATTAATGATGATTTATGATGATTTTCCTTTCTTTTGAATGGTATAACACTATCTTTTTTTGCCACAACAATTCAAATATGCCCTTTTCTTCTAAATGAATATAGAAGTGAAGATAGAAAGAAATGTATGGCTTGAATAAATGCCAAATCTTATGTTAAAGATGGAAATTACAGCATTAAACTATAGTGTAAAATGTTTTGTATTATTACATTTCCACCAACGGAAAAGTAAATATTTTACGAACGTACATTAATGATATGATTCATGCATCTGTTTCCTCTAAAGGTGATGCAATATGTTAAATTAAATACAAATTCAAAAGAGATGAACGAATTAAGACGTATCAGACTACTTCGATGTATTTATTGTTCACGGGGGAGAATCACGCCGTTCGTTACCTAAACAAACAAGGTGGCGGATGCAGCCAAAAAGTACGTTTTTCCCTTTTTTCTCTAAAATTCGTGATGTTCTAATGTTTAAGTACATATAACAACCTTCTCCACAATATTCCTGGCACACAGGATTTTATTTCATGATGTTTCGTCCCGTACTTCATCTGAAATGCGCGTCACCAGATTCGAAGCGAGAGAATTTTCCACCGGCTTGATCGTGGTAACGTACGGCTTTATCTCTAAAATTCACCGTTTCGTTTACATATATGTATATTAACTGAAACCACTGACTTTAAAAAGTTGTAATATGTTGTAAAGTAAGCAATCATGCCTATTCAGGCTAGATTTACTGCTGTAAATATTAATATCGGGGCATTTTCTGGAAATGATAACGTATGGCGCACAAAATATCAATGATAACGTACGGCACATTTTTTTTCTGATTAATGGATTTTCTATTTAATAGAAAAGTTATGTTTACAAGACATTAGAGGATGTGTAGAACTAAATTAAGAAACTGAAATAAATAATATTAGTGTCCAGCTTTATTTGTCATCCAATGAAATTTCTTAAAACTTCTTTGTGTAAATTTTCGTCGATGATATATCAGAGTCCGTTCGTAGCAGCCTTCTATT